AGAGTGGCTTTGGTGGGCACCTGGCATTTTTTCACCACAGAGTGAAAAGGGGAAGAAGGGAAAAGTAAAGTACAAAAAAAGGAATGATCTGGCTAGCTGTTCAGTTTGTCAGGGTTTTTTTTAAATAAAGAGTTACATAATTTTTCAGAAAAACTTTTGGAGAACGTTTTGTTTTGATGGCTCTGTAATGCAGCATTGAAAAAATTGATTTTTACCTTGATTTTGTTTTCTTCCAGTAAGTACATTGCCATTGACTTCGCCAGTGCTTCAAAGAAAAACCACGAGTACTAGAATGAACAAACAATACTATTATTTTTCTTAGCAGGATTGAACATGTTTGACTATGTGGCGAAGCACTAGTGTGGGAGGGTGAGCTCACATTCAACTGGCATTTTGTGAGCACAGCTGTGCTCGCACAGCTACCTTGGCACGGGCGCCTTTGCTACCTGGCAGAGTTCTGCCAGCCTTGGGGTGGGAATAGCTCCATCCCCTCTGCATGCCAATGCATACCGCAAGGAGCCAGCAGAGTTTAGGGTGCAAGCCCTGCAAAGGCCCAGAGAGGAAGAAACTCAGTCTGCCTCCCATGAGTCACCCCTCATATGTGGCTTGAAGAAAATAGACAAAACTAGCGAAATTAAAAGCCTTTTGCTGTCTTCTGCCACAAGCCTTAACACAGTCAGGTTCCCTGCAAGAATTCATCTGTGTTGTAAGGGGAGAACCTCAAGGCTGTGGATGCAAGTTGCTACCCTGGTAGCTTTGCTCCTGCAGTGGGTTTGGATGGGTGAAAGTGTTTGGCTTTATACCAGACCCCCTTTTCCTTCTCTCCACCCTTGGAAGACAAGTGCCGACAATAGTTCACCTTGAGCAGCTTATTGATGGCTAGAAAATCTGCCGACTGCTTCAGGATCGTGGCCATGGAAAGGACCAGGATTTCATGGGTCATCTTTGCCTGTGTGACACTGGGTTTCTCAGCTCGAAAGACATACTGAGAAGCAAGAGGAACAGCATTAGCAGTGTGCCTGCTCCCAGCAGGGAGTTTTGCAGAGTGGTGTGTCATGACTGACCTTTATGAAGGAACGCAAGTAGTGGTCTAGACCTTCTTCATGACACTTGGACACAATGTGCAGAAGAACCCTGGGGAGAAATGTGGTTTGTGTTCAGCATGCAATGCGAGGGCAAGTTCCTCCAGCTCATGAAAACAGACACCACCTATATCCTATCCTGTTCAACCTCAAAAGCCTCACTGCTGGCATGGCCTGATTTGCAGAGAGCCAGTACTTGCAGGCTAGCACCCCTCGCAGCTCCTGTGGCTGCACCATCCTTGCTACAGCACAGCCCCTTGACAGAGTACTCAGAGCTGAGGTGGCCAAAGCCTCTTCTCCACTTTGGTGCTGGACCTGGTGTTGCCCAGAGAGCTGCCTTTAACTCTCAAGGCTCCCTGCACGAGGAGCTGATGTGGAGCATTTCTCTGTGGGGGACATAACCTATTCTTTGGTCTCTGTGCATGCTAGGATTAAAGCCTTCCACTACTTAAATTCACACTGCGGTGAGCATTAGGCACCTGAGCAATGCTCAGGTGTTAGATAAGTTGAAAACAAAAATATTAAGTTAATCTCCTCTGCACCTCGTTCTTCTTGGCTTTATCTATGGTCCTGCTATACGGAGAGGGAGCCCACTTGCCCCACCTGCACAGATTCACGCTACAGGTTCATCCACACTGTACAGCTTATCATGTGTTGAGTCTGTCCTCACTGGGAGCCCTTTCCTAATGAGAATACAAGCGACAATGAACAACTATTACATCAAGTCTACAAAATGAACACAAAAACCCCACAGAATCTCTGCGGAAGTGGGGAAAAAAATTCTTCATCGTTGTAATACTGATACTTTCCTGCACCCTCTCAATTTATTAATTCTGGAAGGGTCTTTTTTTACTGAATTTACATTATATGCTCCTTGTTACACGCATTGGATTATTTTTGGACTGTTGCCTTGCATTTCACTAAGGACCAGCAGACCCTGGAGAACATACCAGCCCTCTGGAAGCATTCCAAGAGGCTGATGAAGGCAGCAAGCGCCTTGTTTCCCCAGCCAACATTAGGGATTTACGTTCCAGTCCCAGCCAGAGGGAACAACAAACTATTGCACTTTGTCACAGACCCCACAGGCCAAACCACAGGGAGGAATTTACAAGCCATTTATCAGATAACCTGGGTTTTAAATTTCACTCTGAAAGTCTGGATGAGAAAACAGTTGTCTTTACACAGAAAGTTATGGACAAATTGAAAAGCATTAGGCCAAGCTTTGAAAAGTGAAGGTGGGAGCTGGTCACCCAGCAGGTAGCTGCGGTCACTTATTCCCCTGTCCTTGCCCCCTGGTGATTCAACCAGAAAGGGACTACAGTGCTCCGCACAGAAGTCCCCACAACTTGCACCACACGACACAGCACCGTGACTGCAATGGGCCCCGCAGCCCTGGGGGACCAGGGCTCAGCCTCTGACGGACCAGGGCTCAGCCTCTGACCTCTGGTTTCATGGGAGCGAGATGCTTTTGGTACATGAATGCATGGTACCTCCTGGAGTCAGAGGAAGATCTCCACGGAGTGGCATCCAGCATCCCCCTTTGCACTGCAGTGCTTCAGAGAGGAAGAACCACGGGAGGAAGATGGATGGTTTAATGCATCCATCAGTTTAGGAGTGCCATGGCCAGGGCTAGGCAGAGAAGGTGCTTTTCACCACCTTTTTCTCTCTTTGGACCGCGCACAAGCCTGCACACAGCAGAAACTCTCGGCGGGGACCAGGCGCTGGCCGGTGCTGCCCTCTTGGGGCTGCAGGCATGGCAGAGCATCGCTGAACAACCCACCGCCTGCTTCGGGCCGTTCATCCCAAGCCAACACGGATGTAGTGGCTACTTCTGCAGCCTAACGGACCCAGCTCTGGGGGATTTTTAGCAACACGTTTGGCACAGGGCACTGGTGCGCAGGGGTGAGACCAGGGCACTGCTCCCGTGGGGAAACCACATCTGCTGTCTGCAGCTGGGATGCGCCCGGCAGCTCTGGAGCCTTTTGATGCCCCAATAACTTGGCTCTCAGAGCCAGCCCCACCAGCTAACTCTTTTTCTTTTGAAAAACAAACCAGGAGTAACTTTAAAGTACCACATTTTTCCCCATGCAGCTCCCAGGACAAGGGCTCCACAATGCCCCATGCCACCCAGCCATGCTAGGGCAAGACCGCTGCTGGTATTTCAAGCACAAACACACAGGCAAGCAGCAGTGGGCAGCCAGTGATGTCACTTAGCACCTTGTACTGGGAAACCACACCCTGCTTTGCACTGTAGTTTGTGGATTTGTGTTTGTAACTGAAGAAAACCAGATGGTTTAACAGACACTCACATGGTGCAGTTGACAGCTACTTCATCTTCCTGGGTCACATTTGTAAGGACTCTAAATAGTTGCATAAGAATTACAGGTAGAAACTGAATCATTACTTGGATCTCCATGGCGTGCAAACACTAAAACAAATGTTCAAAACACAGACACTTTTAGTTCAACATTTTGCAGATGTTAAATATTTATAGCCCACAGACATTTCTGTGGCAACAGGACAGGCATCAGCAAATGCTTCAGGGCGTGGGCTTCACCCCACCAGAGGACAGGAGAACTTGGACCCACAGCAGCACTCACTGCCTGCCTTCCAGCTGACAGATCCCAGCTGCATGCCTTCAGGGAGCAACATGAATCACTCATGACAGGTATTAATCCTCCTCTCAGATGTGCCCAGGCAGCTATGACTTAATGTGAGGTCACATGCTATGATTTGACCCCAATCACCCAGAATTTAAGGCTGAAGTTTCGCTCCCAATTCTTCTTATGAATTGTGACAGTTTTTTGAAGCGACTACATCCCATTTTCACAAATGTCTTTGGAGCATGGAAACCTGACGCTTGATGACTTGCAGTGAGATCTTCCTTCAAAGAGTGCAGCTTGCTGTCAGAAAAGGGATTTAAGTGACTTGGTGAAGGTCGAGATCATCTGGTGCATACACTCTCCACCCATCTCATAGACCTCTTTTGACTGAATATCACGATACGAGTCTAGAACAGACAGTGCATTTCATTTTCAGTTTCCAATCCTGCGAATCTAATGAAAGGCTCTTAATTCCGTATCTAGTTATTTAAATTACTGAAGTTATTGAGGTATTGGTGGTTAAGAAGCCCTCACTTGTGGTTAGCATGTAAACGTCTCCCTGTCTGCAGGCTGCAGCAAGGTCTCTCTGGCTGGGCAGAGCTGTGACCTACCCAGCCCCTTGATGAATTTTAGTGCTTGGCTTCAAAATCTGCCATCGTTTCTATTTCTTAAAATATTTATACTTTATCTGAAACACACCCAGTAACTGTGTGATGATAAATCCCCACCACTGGAAGCGGAGCTGTTGCTACGGCAGCACTCTCAAAAACAGGCAGTTATGGAAGGAAACAACGACAGTAAACAGCCAAGAAACATATTCCCTACAGAAGCCTTTGCTGGACCTGCTCCGAGGCCCTTACTCATGCTGCAGCGATTGCCAAAAAGTTGGGTCTGGGTCATAGGTCATCTGTGGTCAAATTTAACTGACTGATAATCTCACAGACCTCTTTCAGCCTGAAAAAAAATCCTGTTTTGAATGGATAATCCTGAGAACAAGGAATTGTGCTACAGTTTAGAGGTTTGAATCAGATCTAGGGCAGCAGGGGAGGAGTGTGTGAGCCCACCAGGAGGAGGGTTTGCCATAAGCACGGCAGAGCGATACCGACTACTTGTTTTTCCTGCTGTGAAAGGTAGTGGGAAGAAGCACACAGACAGAAGACAGCCATGTCAGTAAGCAAAGGTAAGAATACTGCAAAATACACCAGTCCCAGCACTGCAGTAAGTGTGTGCTTCGACAGCGCAGGGGTCTGGGTATTTACTCATGGTCTGTAAAAACACAAATGAAGCCCACCGACAGGCACTGTTCACCTTTAGGTATTTAACAAGCTCTCCTGGGACTTCCTTAGCTCCCGCCTGAACCAGCTGGCAGTACTGGAAGAATTTGTGCAAGTGCATGTCCTGGAAGAGACAAACAAGTTCAGTGCAGCAGCCTCAGTACTCATCAACCCCTACTCTGCTGACTTACCTGCGGCAGTAGGTCATGTCCCTAGCAAGCTCCATGTCACTACCAGTGGCACTCTTGGTCCCCAGCTGCCATCTCCCAGGACTACAGCACTGCTGCCTGCCTTTTCCAAAGTACTCAGCCACTGCCTATTCCCTGGCTCCCAACTAATCTCCAGATTAAGCACAAAACTGCCGCAGTTAAAATTCTCCTACGGCTGCACTACCCTGGGCCCTAATCCCCATCCAACACTGGCCTGGAGGAGTGGGACTCTCTCAGCTGCGACCCTTCGAGACTGCCTTACCATCTGCCTCACCAATCTCCTACTGTCCATCTGAGGCACACTTCCCTTCCCATTCCTCTCCCTCCTTCTCCTCAGTTAAATTTAATTACTGGGTTATTTAACCCTGAAAAGCATCTGGGAATGTAATTTGGTGAGGAGTAGAACTATTGTGCTGTACAGAATCAGTAAGACCCTAAAACAAATTTAGATGATGCTGAAAGTGAGTTGCTGTGAATGTAAATATAGGTGATTACATCCAGCACAGGACAACAAGTCCTGCCAAGAGCATTTCCCCATGAGCAGCAGTGACAGGAGGTGCTCCAGAGCATGTGCTGGGGATTTTTGCTGCACATCATGTGAAGCTTGGGGAAGTCCATCACCACCATAAGACCGCAGAAGACATGAGGACTTGGTAAAACAATCTGAACTGGTTTCAAAGGGAAATCAGCACTCTTGTTTTCTTGTGTCTGCTGTTGTCAGAAAGCTTTTTTATAAAAACTTAATAAACAGTCTAATATTTGGGCAAATCTCTCATTTCCACCTCTCCTTTCTATCACCAAAGCAACTCTTTTGCTTAAATATTTCCAGTTACAGTGCAATTGCCCAAGAAAACATAGCCTCTCCATATACTCACTCACTCACACAACCGTCTCATCACATCCAGACAAAGGAGCAGATCCCTGCAAGTATCCCAGACCTGCTGCTACAGAAGTATCTCAGCGCTGCTCTGCAAACACAGCTACCTCTTTCCCACAGCACCTACAGCATAGCAGTAGCAGAGATACAGCAATCACTTCCTCTACATTTGTGTCTTTAAGGGTGAGGTGCTCAACTTACCTGGGTGTAAATGGTTGAGTCCAAATGGATTCTGATTTTAAACAGCGGCTTTGCTCCATCCACCCACTTTGCATCCACACTGGGCTGCTGTGAACAGACAACATTCAAGTACTTGGTTTTGGACTGTGGTGAGAAGGTGGCTCTGTGCAGCCAGACATATGGTCAGAAGGTATGGGTTGGGGTGGAAGAACGGTTTCCCCCCCAGCACAAACAGCAGTGACCTGACTGCAGCCACGGCAGGGCAGAGGGGTCCCTGCGAGAATGCGCACACAGAGCATGTGCCCACTTCCCTGCTCTGCACCACCTGCAACAGCCCAGCGCAGCCTGCCAAAAAATATTCTCTGCAACCTACATAACCACAGAAAGTGGAATTACAAGTGTCCTGTCTCCCACCTCTAAGAACCTCAAGCTTTGGGGGCTGCCCTGCAGTAAGGATCTTTCCAGCTGAGCAGAGCACCAACAGAAGCCCAGAATTTACAGTGGTAACAAATGCTCAGCTTTCGTCTTCCTTTTTAAGTCCATTTTAAATGGCCTTCCTACCCTTCGTGACTCTGTGTCTCCAAGACCCAGGTAGCCAGGTGGAAGGTTGGACGAAACTGGCAAATGCCGCTCCAGGGTGACAATCCGTCCATCCTTCAGCAATGGGACCCAGGCGTATCCCACTGTGGAGGCAACCAGTGGACCAGAGTTAACAGACACACAGTGATATGCGTTCAGCTCAAGCTCCCAAAAGAACTGTGTCTCATCCTAAGAAGATGAAACTCACAGTTGTGCAAGCAGCTTCAAAAAGGCTGGGACTGACCACATCAGCCCTGTTAAAGTATGTGGTGACTTGGCGAATGAAATTCAGACACAGCACAACCAAGATCAGGAGTGGGTTTGAGGGGCAGAAACAGTGTGTCAGCCATGGTTGTGCATCATGATGAGGGTCCTTCAGTCGCCTGAGGACTGACTGAATAGAGAGGCATCCCAACCACTGGGACCTGGGTGTGCTCAGTCTCTTACACATACCTGATGTTGACAGGATTGGCCCCCGAGGCCCTGATCTTGCATCAAGTTTTTGTGGTGATTTGACTACAACAGCCCATTCACACAAGCCAAGTCAAGAACACGTAGAAACAGCTGTCCGATTGCAGCAAAAATTTGAGCTTTAGTATACACTAAAAACATGATTTTTTTTTTCCAGTTCAGACCTAGGTTGTATTAGGCTGCTTTCAAAAAAGAAAATTCAGATAGGCTAGTACTTTAATCAAACAGTTTTTCATGTCCCTACATTCATTTTATCTTGGACCATTCCAACATTCCAACAGAAGTAATTTAAGCACTGAACATACCTTGAGTTTCAACGGTGTCCTGTTTTTTCGATGTTGCCTTTGTATTAATTTCACAGCTGACATGATAGAAGGTGAAAAGCAAATGATGCTTTTGATGGAGGTGAATTGGAAGCTCAATTTTAATCTAAAATGATATCATGAGATAAGACTGTATTTTTAGTTGTGGAGTAATATTTTAAGTTCTATTTTATTTCGCAAATGCTATGTTGCATGCGGTTACACAAGACACATCCCTAACCATCTTAAATAACTCCCGGCTAACATTTTCATCACATTTGTGCATTACTTCTTAATGGGGGTGTGTGATTGGAGTGCACAAAGCGTGACAGTAAAGACAGCAGAAAACAAACTGGAATTAAAAATTGACGAAGTCTCTGGCTTTGCTGAGAGTTTCTCCTGAGGCAAAGGGCTGGTGATTATTTTTACCCATATTTCACCCAGCCCTGGAAAAAGATATCCTGAAAGGCCCCTTGGTTTTGTAGCACCCAGGAAAATCTGTTATTTTCCACCATTTTGGTTTTACCTCGTCGTAGAACTCTGGACTCTGGTTGTGATGCAGCACAGCAGCGTATGCGTTTGCGATCAGCAGATGGCCTCTGGGTTTGCCATATATACACTGGAAACACAGATGAAGAGCTGAATTCAGGGTTGCTGCCACCCTAAATTAGCCAGCTAAATTAAAGCATAGAGTGTGCAAACTCCGTGCTTTCCCATTGTCCTGCTCAGCCTGGCTGGCAAACTGTACACAGCAGTGAGCAAATAGCAGCCCCATTAACAGGTACCCACCTTTAACGGCCTGGCATCAGCTTCATCTGAATCCCTGAACTCAACACAGACAGCAATATTCCTTGCCTGAAATGGGGGAGAACAGGAGGATGACCCATTGCTACAGGTCAGCAGCCTCACCACAGACCACGCTGAGTCTGGCTGCAGCCTGCTCTCTCCTAGTTGCTCACCTTTGCAAACACCTTCTGGTTCTCATACTTCAAATGCAAGGGGTAGACGTAGAGGTGGTTTTTGTAGACAGTGAAGGGATAACAGTATTTTGCAACTTCTGGGACAAGCTCCTCCACTTCAACTGCAATGTCCTCACAGCTCTTCTCAAAAGGCTTTATAGGAATATAAGAAGCCGTCACACAATCTAGAAGAGAAGGAAAGCCTGTATAAGTGCACGCCCCACAAACATGGGAATTACAGCCCACGTGAAAGGGAATTTGTGGGTCTGACACTTTGCCATTGCTCTCAAGCATCCCATTTTCTTCACATCAGAGGATTCTGTGTGTTGACCGGAAGGACTTGGACCACGCCCCCTGAAACAATTAAGGGAAAATTTTCTCCTTGATCATGAACATCTGTGGTCCCCAACTGCACTAGCAATACTGAGAAAAGATGGGTGCACAGGCACCACAAGGCTCTGCTCTCCTTGCCAGGGGGGACTGCAGAAGTGGCACTTTCCTGTAGCTCTGGGCAAAGTCAAAGGGTCTCGTGAATGACCCATGTCTGGCTAGGGACAGCCATTCTGCCCAGAAACTGCACCTTGAGTCTTCCAGGAATTTGACCCATTAAGTTACTGTTTTATAAGTCATGCAAACACCACCAGTGAAGCAGACAGGCTACCGAGATGACGTCTTTGAGACAACTTTGAGACTGATGTCTCAAAGTGCGTCAGCCCCACTGCATCAGTCCTTTTCCACTCTCTGTTTCAGAAAGATGTTTGACGATTATGTTGCCTCCAAATACCAGTGCACAAGCCCTGCCTAATTCACTGAGACTCACATCTACCACGAGGGAGTGTTCATCTCAAATGATGGCCTCTCAAAGAACAGAAAAAAAATAAGACCACTACAAAAGCCTTTTGGACGGGGGACCAGACTACAGAATCTGTGACAGGAGCTGCCAAAGGCCCATGGAATGACACTGAACACATCACAAGTCCTCTCTTTGCCTCAGTTTCTTTAATACAAAGCAAAGACTCACACTGACCATGTTTATTAAGCCCTCTGGTGTTATGGATTAAAAATATACAAGATTGGTGTAATAATAACAACAAAAGCAGGCAGGTGGCTTCCTTTAGATTTAGTATGTGATGGACTAACTGCAAAGCAGGTGCACCCCTCAGGTAAGTCTCTGCACTTGGACCACATTCCTCCAAGAATCCATCAAAAAGACTTAAAAGTCAGCAGTTGTGCTGAATTACTCATTTCTCATTGCAGCCCTGACATACTCTTGTTAATGAAACAGCAAAACTCCCCATAAAAGCATGAACTCCTGAGGCTAGAGCCATCAGCATTTTTTTTTAAGATCCAAGATCCTTACTTGTGAAGTCTAGCGGGATGTCTTTGATGACGATATTTAACTGGGCTGGAATGACCTGCAGTTTTGTCTTCTCTGGTCTGCATTAGGGAGAAAGGGACAAGAGTGTGAACCTTGAAAGCTCAGGTGCTGAACACATCAGCAGCACTTTTTGTTACCCTCTGAGTATTTTAGAAATTGTCATCTCATGCTTACACTTAACTGTTTAAAAATGTGTATTAAAATGCCTGCTCAACCTCTGCACCAGTCTCTTACACTTACTTCTTATACTCTGCTAAAAGCTTCAGCATATCTTCATTTGAGATTTTGCTGCTGTCTTGCTTGTACAGAGGTGAGAATTTTCCTTCAGCATCGAGAGTTCCCTGGGAGTCTTTGAAAACTGGTCTGCAGAAAAGAAGAGAAACATTTCTTAAATGTTGGTAAATATGCAGATGTTGAGGTTTTTGACACATCAGGCTGAAGGGCAGTTTATCAGGTGAGAGGTTCACTGGCCTGTGACTGCTCTGAACACCACCAGACTTATCTAATCACTCTCCCATCCTCACGTGGTGCTTAGACACTACACAGACTGCAATCGACCATGTCACATAAAACTACACACGACATCACCCATTTCCCTTCTCTCCAGCCAGGTGAGAAGGACACACCCAGCCCAGTTCCAAGCCTGGTCCACAATTATGAACCCCCTTCAGTTCCATTCCAATTACACCAAGTGATAAAGTATCTTCCTAGTTGCACATGGGGTCAGAGGACTGAAATCCTCCTAGGAAAGGAGTGTGTAACGACGACCAGTCTCAGGACATATATCAGCTTCCTCCTGAACCCAGAGCAGGAGACTGGACTGCCCTGGAGGAATACCGGCATCCTTGCCTTTACTATAAAGGCTGTGGGGAGCTGTGTGTGTATAGTAAGAACATTAAAGCATCCGTATTCCCTTTCTGTCCAAACACCTTCCTCTGAAATCCACATGGAAACCACTCCAGGGATGCAGAGCAACTCAGCTTCCCACACCAGGCCACTCAACTCCTTCCTCTCTAAATGCAGCTCTTTACCCAGCAGGAACAAATCTGAAGCCCATCAAAGTCAATGCCCACACAGAGCCTACCGTTAGGCTGAGGCACCACATGAAAGAGGGCTGAGGCACTACGCAGCCTGTGTGCTGGCTCCCAGGAGCAAGCCGCATTCCAGAAACACCATCTTGAAGCTGAGCAGCCAGTGTCACAGAAAAAAACAGCTCAACGGATTTGCAAGCCACATACCACCAAATGCCAGCCCCCTGTGACAGTCATCTGGTGTTCCCATGTCATTACCATCCTTTTTGTCAGCACCAAAGAGCAATTTAGCAACAGGAGGCAGTGCCAGAGGGATGAACTCACCTTCAGGTCTTCTGATGTGAGATTTAAGCGAGCTAGTGCTGAGGTACTTTATCGGTCCCAGTAAAAGAATAGTGAGGGAATGGGATCACTGTCTCCAGTCATTCCCAAGAACATTAATTAAAGCAGAGTCTAAGATGGGAGACAAACCCAAGTTGATTGCCACCACCAAGCCAGGAGGTCCTCCACTCTATTCCTGTCCCTGGCAATGGCTGGTGACAGGAGGGAATTTCTGCGCCAATTCCCGCGGTAGCACAGGACGGTGTAATTCATCCCCAGGAATGT